TTTAATCCAAATTTTAAAAATTTGAGTCTGTTCTAATTTCACTTCATCAGCCATGACTGAACTGTTAAGAACCAGTTTGAAGCCCTGCTTAAATTCTGTCTCTATTTGCACCATACCCATCCACACATACCCATCTTGTGCTAAGAGATGTACACAGACTGTGAGTACAGGCAGTCCCCAAGGGTATGAGTGGAATCCGTTCCTAATTGTGTCTTATAGAATTTGTAGATAAGTCTTACTTCTGTACAAAAAAAGTGAAGAATTTGTTGGGAGCAGGAGTTGGTTTCAAAGTGAGGGCAAATTTACATAACATTAAAGGGCAAGTACCAGTTGTTATGTTGGTAACCCAAAGACTGCCTGTAGAGACTTAACTACTCCCCACTCCCTTTCCTACCCCCTGTATGTATGTGTTGACTGTTCTAACATATTTATATTATGTATCTGTGCTTCTAGCTTATGTGAAGGGAGCCTGGCATAGATAAAAATTTGAGAATCTTTTGATTCTAGATGTTTCTGTTTTCCTCCATATCTCAAACTTTAGTATTTGTGAAATTATGGGAATTCTGTGTTATGATGCTGATATATGGTCACAGAAGAGTGCTTAAGACAGGACTGAAACTCAGAATCTCTGTTCTTTACTTAACACATACTACAACAGCATGCCTTAATGTATTTTCTATTCCAATCACTTTTGTCAGCCAGAACATTCCTCTTTAGTTTTTTTTTTTTCAAAGCTTAGAAGATCATAGACACATGAGAACTAAAAAAGGAAGAAAATATTCAGATGGTTGTAGTTTTATTTCTAATACTCTAAACTGAAGGGACAGAAACAGTTTACTAAAATTTCAGCATGGGGCCTTCCTTGGGTAGATAATTTTTGCTTTCTGATTCATTACTTTCTTTATACATCATGCATTTAAAGAAAAGGCAGTATGGTATGTATCTCCATCATGCTTTCTTGCAATTAAATTTCTGTGGGTCCTAATTCACTATCCCTCAGTGACACCAAAGGTAAAACCAAATAACTGTACACTGAACAAGTATGAAAATTAATTCCTGCTTTGGAAATTACTTTAGGTATAACTGCATTTTACTTTAGCTCACGTTACTTTATTATCAGTTCCTCTCTACTTCACTCAGCCACCACCAATAATCTCTCTGGGCCTATTTCCTTATTTGTAAAATGCCTCAGTTGTGTGGTTCAGCTGTGTCTAGCCCATCCCAGCCCCTCAACTAAAGGAAAACATGCCTGACAGAATGGGGCAATCTCTCTGCTTAATTGTGAGAGGGGTTTGAAAAAGTTTGCCCTTCAGTGGTCAAGATGTAGGTATCCCCTTTCATCAGCCGTGTATGGCCAGATTCCAGAAAGTCTTTCTGAATAGATAGAAGGGATAAGAAAGAGTCCAGGCCCAGGAGAAAGGGAAGGGCAAACACTAGGCAAGGATTCCAGGATACCAGCCAGTCAGACTAGTATTCAAGAGGCAGGTTCCATTCCTGGTGAGGGACTCAAACAGTCAAAGTGGGGCATTTCTAAATACAACACCTTCCCTGATAGCCAGAATTACCATGGTCCAGAAGCCCTCAAAGCCCTATGCTACTTGCTGGCATAGATTCACACTTGGGCTTGTACAGTTATTCTAATATCTTAAAGCACTTTCCCTTTCCCTGCTGGAAATTCTCACTTTATGAAGGTAGTAATAATTGATATCCCTGCAATGGAACTTTTGTTACCTTAGAACAGTTCCATTATATGCAGGCTTGGAATAAATAAAACCACCATAACTGCTGGTGTTGCTTCAACCTCTGTGCACAGTACAGTGGAAACATACGAGTGTTCAAATCTGTTATGCCTTGAAAAGCCTCTCCAAGTTCCAGCTTCCTCATAGGCACAACAGGAATGTGTGTGTGTGTATGTCTACATATACATATATACAGACAGAGCGCTCATTGTTTCTGTTTCTCTAGAGAACCCTAAGATCTCCAGCAATTCCACTCCTAAGTAAATATCCAAGAGAACTGAAAACGTTGTTGTTGTTGTTAAGTGCCGTCGAGTCGTTTCCGACTCATAGTGACCCCATGCACAGCAGAACGAAACACTGCCCGATTCTGCGCCAGCCCC